TTTTCCTGCAATATATACAAGCTGAGACAACTGAGCAGCCAGCCATAGCAACAGCCTGCCTCTCCTGAGGGGGTGGGGTGGGAGTGGTGAGTGGTCCTCAGGTGATGATATCCTCAGATGAGTTTTGAATCAGCAAATTTGCTTGATTGAATTCATACAATGCCCCACACAGATAATACTGGAACAAATTTTGTAGCTCCAGTGGTTATTTTTATGTCTGATAACAAAATTTCTAACTGTAATATAGAATGTTATTCTATATTCTTCTTTGTTAATAGAACTATTACCAAATTCCATTTTTTCGTTTTTTTTTTATATTCCATTTTTTCATCTTGAGTCACTCACCTTCAGTTTTAACTGCTCTTCTTGGTTTCCAACAGCCCATGGAACCCTGGCATTTTGCCCTGAGAAGTCCTGTGTTTCACCATCTGTGGTGAAAAGGAGTAACTGTATAGGCTCTACAGTACATGGAGAGAGAATTCAGGGTTTGTTTATTTTTTGCCATTCTGCTTTTTTTTATTATTATTATTTTAAGGAATGCATTATGATAGAAGTGAGAATTAGCTGTGTAGCCAAAAGTTTGTGTTCATGGCACAAAAGCTGAAAGCTACCACCATCCCAGTGATAAAACAGCATACTATCTGGTAATAGGCAGGGACAGAGAAAGTTTAGAAAGCCAGCATTCCCTTTGGAAAACTCAGCTAAGTCACGCTTCTAATTATATTTAAAGAGAATCATTATGTCCATTAATTTCAAGGCCAAGGAGTGGGGAGGGGGGAGAGAGAGAGAGAGAGACACACACACACACACACACACACACACACAGTGTTTTTGTTTGTTTTGGTACCAGGGATCAAACCCAGGGGTACTTAACCACTGAGCCACATCCCCAGCCCAATTTTTTATTTTGAGACAGGGTCTCACTAAGTTTCTGAGGCTGGCTCTGTGATCTTCCTGCCTCAGTATTCTGAGCTCAGTCAGGATTACAGGCAGGTACCACTCCACTTAGCAGCTACTGGATATTTAAACATATATTTATCAATGCCATTTCATATTATTTTTTTATATTATTTTTACATCTGATATTCATATTAAGTGATGAGAAGATTCTACCAATTCTGCTCTTCTAGTCCTTTCATGGAGTTCATGAACCAGTCCTTGGGTCAGATATTATGGAATGGATATTTAAGCAACCATCTGAAATTAAGTACTCCTGAGCTGAAGAAATTATATAAAGATATCCTTAGATGGGACTTAAATAAATTTGACAGTGTGCTTGACTGAACTCTTACAAAGTTGACACTAGGGGTGAGGACAGGTCCAAAATAAGGGATATAGTCCTTACCAATTGGAAGTACACAGTTTAATTGGGGAGATAGTAAACGTACATATCTATAAAGGAAGGAAAAAACTCTAGAAGGTGGTAAGTACCATAAGAGTGGTTCACATCATTCAGGGACCTTAATATGGCATGCAAGGAAACAGAAATAGAAGCAACCGTAAGGTCAGCTTTTAAAGCAAGATTTCATCACGACAGCTTAGCAGAGAAATAAACTAAAGGTTCACATGTTATGGGTCAAAGGATGGACTGATTATGTCTTTTTAACCACTACTATACTTGTGTTGGTAATCCTTTTTTTAAAAAATATTTATTTTTTAGTTTTTTTAGGTGGACACAATATCTTTATTTTTATGTGGTGCTGAGAATGGAACCCAGTGCCTCACGCATGCTAGGCGAGTGCACTATCACTTGAGCCACAACCCCAGCCCCTGTTGATAATCATTTACTCAACAGTAGATTCAATTATGAAGGACAGCAAGATAAATATAAATTCAATTCAATTATAAATATAAATTCAATTCAGAATCTGGGCCAAAGCCTGATATCAAACCTTTAAAACAAAGTATCGTCTAGAGTTGAAAGAAAGGTCTCCTGAGCAGGAGGTAGGATAAAGATGAGAAAGACTTGGGGAAGGTTTATATTTCTGGAGGAGATGGTAGCCACTCTGAAGTCTTGACTACTACAAATTGTCAGTGTTGATCTGATTAGCTGGGCAGGTGTCCCCTCCTGCCTCAGGGATCCTCAGGAGTCTGTCTACCTGGGTGGGTTGAGGCAAGAAGGGCAGGAATGATGATGGTTAGTGGGTCATTTAGTTGAAATTGAGTCCTAAAGTTGAGCCAGGCCCTCTCTCTTGGGTGTTAAGCCCTGTGGGTCAGGGGTAGGGCTCATCTGGGGAATCTACCAGAAGTGCCACGCCTGGCTCATTAGTGGATGTCTGGGGAAACCTTTGAAGATGAAATACTCCATAGGCATTGATTCTATTTTTTTTGGACAAGCTAGTACTTTGGTCTCCAGGGGCTGTTGTTCTGACTTTTTTGCATTAGTCTGGAATTTACTGCAGATTGAATAAGAAAAACAAAACAAAAAGCGTGAAGAAGTTTCTTAAAAAAAAAAAAAAAAAACTCTCATCAAACTCCCATGTTATAGCTTGTTAAATAGAATTCTTCCCCATCCATCTTTCACATTCTTGAATTTGGGTGTACTCTGTCTTGACCTGTTTCTTCACCTTTTGGGTTTGGGATGTGTGTATCTCTCTCTGGTTCCCAGACCATAAGAGATTGCCAGTAGCTGGCATATGGTGATTGCTGAATAAGCTGCCCTCTGATGCATGCCTCCTGCAGGCACAGACAACTGACTAACATGGGTGGTTCTGAACCCCCATTTCATGTCTCAAAGATGCATTTATATGGCTATCCTGTGCCATAGAGAAGGCAGTGAAGAAGAAGAGAGATGAATGAATGAATCTGATAATTTCTGTTAGAAGCAATGGACAAGATGGGCAGGTAGGCATTTTGTATCTTCATAGTGGTTCTTACTACTCTTTATCCTTTCATCAGGTATTTATTAAGTGCTTACTATATACCAGACATAAAAATCCAATCTGAGTGAGCTGTCAGTGAGGTCAGTAGAGAACCTAGGAGTTAGTTCTGTTATTCAGTTATTATGTGCTTTGTACTATTCTAGGTTCTAGGGACATAGAACACATAAGGATCTACAGTATAGTAGGAGGAGTGAAATAATACAGCAAGAAACCATTATATAATGTGTCACATGGTGATAAATGTTATAATGATAAGTAAAGTATGATAGTGAGGTAGGAAATGGTGTTTATGTTGAACCTGTTGAGGCCTCTTTCATGGGTGACATTGGAACAGACACTTGAAGAAAAAAAGGGAGTGATCCATGAAGGTTACATGGTAGGGGAGCATTTCAGGCAGAGGGAATAGCAAAAACATAAACTCTGAGTCAGGAAATTGGGGAATTGGAGTGGAGCAAGCAAAGGAGAAAGTGGTAAGAGAGATGATGAGGGCTGGGGCTGGGGCTCAGGTGGAGCGCTCGCCTGGCACGTGCAAGGCCCTGGGTTCGATCCTCAGTACCACATAAAAATAAATAAATAAAATAAAGGTATTGTGTCCAACTACAACTAAAAACTAAATATTAAACAAAGAGATAAATCTTGGCCTGAGTCTAGATCTTGCAGGACCTTGTAAACAATGGCATGGACTTTGGATTTTATTGAAGACAGATATGAAGCCAAGAGAGGTTTTTGTTTTGTGACTGGGGGTGATACTGGGACTCAGATCCAGATCTTTGTTGATATTAGACAAGCATAAGAGAGGGTTTTGAGTAGGGGAATCACATGATTTTGCTTTTATTTCCTTTGTGCTATCCTAGGGATTGAACCCAAGGCCTTATGCATGTTAGGCAAATGTTTTACTGCTGAGCCACATCCCCAGCCTGATTTTGGTTTTTTAGAGCTGGGATTGTGGCTTAGTGGTAGAAGGAGCATTTGTCTAGCATGTGCAAGGCCCTGGGTTCAATCTCTAGTAAGGCAGAAAAAAAAAATCACTGGCTGCTCTGTGGATGGGCTACAGTGAACCTAGATCTGCCTGACTAAGGAGAGGATAGCCTCGCTCCCCTCTATCTCCCATTTTCAAGTATGCTATTATATGGATAGGGCATATCTTAAGCAGCATGTAGTTCGGAATGTAAAGAATTAGCCTCTTAGGAGTGCCGCTTTTTTTATTTTTTTATTTTTATTTTTATTTTTTTTTAAGAGAGGAGAGAGAGAGAGAGAAAGAGAATTTTTAATATTTATTTTTTTAGTTCTCGGCGGATACAACATCTTTGTTGGTATGTGGTGCTGAGGATCAAACCCAGGTCGCACGCATACCAGGTGAGCGTGCTACTGCTTGAGCCACATCCCCAGCTCCGCTTTCTTTTTTTAAAAAAAATATTTTTATTTTTTAGTTGTAGTTGGACACAATACCTTTATTTATTTTTATATGGTGCTGAGGATGGAACTCAGGGCCTCACACGCCCTAGGAGAGCGCTCTACTGCTGAGCCACATCCCCAGCCCAGGAGTGCTGCTTTCTTATTTCTTCTTCATTTACACTGATGTAGAAGGAAGATGGAATTGCAAAAATATATAGGGAAGAAGCAGAATCTCTTGATGAGTACTGAGAGCAAAACCTTGAGAACCTGACAAGCCTGAACCTTGTCAGGAGTCACAGAGAGCCACTCCTCATTCCACTCCCTCCTCTCCCACTCTTTCTAGAAGTCTCAGTAAGGTTGGGTGAGGGAGGGGTATAAATGATCTTGCAATGCCTTGGGGTGTAGTATAGAATGTCAGAACTGAAAGAACTTTTAGAAATCACCTAGTTGAACCCCCTCAGCTTACAGGTGTAGATTTGGAAAGATGAAATAATTTTCCCAGAGTCACACAGTACATTACTGGCAGGGGTATGGATCCTGCATGTTCCCAGCTTTGTCTCTGCTCCCAAAGGCTCAGGATGTATCTGAGTAGTTCTTGATATTCATAATCCCCTCAGGCTCTCAGTTGTCATAAATGAACTCCCACTATGACTTTGGCAAATTCCATTTACATGAAGTCTTGACAAATGAATGATGGTAATGATTTGCATTTTCTTTATCTAGGATCAAGTCTTCCATATCAGGGACCAGACTGCCACTGCCCTGACTTGGGCCCCACTGTCTTCAGAAAGCAGCTGCTGTGATCATGGGCAATATCTTTGGAAACCTTCTGAAGAGCCTGATTGGGAAGAAGGAGATGCGCATCCTGATGGTGGGCCTGGATGCTGCAGGGAAGACTACTATACTGTACAAGCTAAAACTGGGGGAGATTGTCACCACCATTCCTACCATTGGTAAGGGCGCAACTAGTATGTAGGCTTTTATGCCAACAGTTGAGCCAGGGCCTATTCCTAGATCCCCTACCTGGCTTCTCCCCAGGCAAGTCCATACAATTTGTGAGCCTCAGAAAAGGATGACTATTTAACTTACTAGCAGGTGCTGGTACTGCCATTTGCCCACGTATCCTGGCCCTCCCTGATACGGGAACTTCCACAACCTGGCATCAGCAATTGCCCTCAGGCCCTAGAGTTGGTTTGTTCTTTGTGTTGTTTGGAAAGCAGGTGAAGAGCTTTGATGTTCCTGCCAGAGGCCTGGAATTGCTTTGGTTTAGATCTTAGGTGGCTGTTCCCTGGTTAAGACCTGTCTATGGGAGGGAGAACATTTGCCACATAGATCAGGGCTTCAGATCATCATGGTCAGTTTGTTCTGCACTGGGGCTCCGGTACTAAAGCTGATTTTTTACTATACACTCTGTCTCTCAGCTTCACATCTTAGATGAGGCAGACACTGAGGGCCAGGGTACAGGAATGGGGCTGAGTCATTTCTTTGCAGGAGAGAGGGGCAGAGTCTGAAGGAGTGATTGGAGAAGCTTGATTTACATTACCCAGGCAGCTATGAACCTCCTGACTAGAACTTCTCATTCTCTTTGACTCTTCCCCTTAAATTTTCTTTTTGGCCGTCAGACTGTCAGGTCTGAGGAAACATTAGCTTTTTATTGTTGGTGTCATGAGGAAGGCTGAGGGGAAACAGGACCAAACTCATTGGGACATTGTTTGCAGGCTTGGTATTTGAGGACAAGTAACCATTGCATGTATTTTCCCAAAGGGTTCAATGTGGAAACAGTAGAGTATAAGAACATCAGCTTCACAGTGTGGGATGTAGGTGGCCAGGACAAGATTCGGCCTCTCTGGAGACACTACTTCCAGAACACTCAAGGTATGACAGATAAACTGCTCAGGACTGGAATGGGTTGGTTGGGTATGAACAAAGTGTGGCTGTTTTCTTTAGTTAAGGGACACCAACCCTTGTTCTGCTGCATCTCCTGTGGGTAGAGAAAAAAAGAAAAGGAGCAGATTCGAAGGGGGTGAAAAGGGTGTTGATCTGGGGGAGGGCAATGCGGCATCTGTCATATCTGTGCAGCCCATGCTGTGCCTCCCTAGGCTTGATATTCGTGGTTGACAGTAATGATCGGGAGCGAGTGAATGAGGCCCGGGAAGAGTTGATGAGGATGCTGGCAGAGGATGAGCTCCGAGATGCTGTGCTCCTTGTCTTTGCGAATAAACAGGTGAGACTTCTCCCCATACCTGAATTTGGGAGAGGGCAACCAGTCTGTGGAAATCATGGGGTCTTGGGCTTATTGTCACAAGCTTATAGTCCTGTGACTGTACCCTCAATTTTGGAAGTGTGGAAAATATAAGCAGTCAGCTTGCTTATGCCTCTCATTTTCTCTGCCAAGGTTTATTTAGCAACATTTTAGTCCTCAGGGATCAGTGTGGTAGAAAACATCATTTCAAATCTTTCATTTCTCTATTGTGAACTTTAGTGGAACTGCTCTTACTCCTGCTGTCAGGCAGATTTAATTCTTCACCTTGTCTGAATCACTTCTGCTTCTTTACCAACCCTGTGTTTGGTTTCCAACTCCTCTATGGAATAACTAACTGATGCCTTGGATCTGGGGGTCTAGGATGACTGAGTCCAAAGTATGGTTTCCTAAAATGAAGGAGGAGGAAAAGGTAGGTGGCGCTTTAGAAGCCTTTGAAAGATCCTAAGCCTCCTTTATGTGTTTCTCTCTTGCACTCCAGGATCTACCGAATGCTATGAATGCTGCTGAGATCACAGACAAGCTGGGCCTACATTCCCTGCGCCATCGCAACTGGTACATTCAGGCTACCTGTGCTACCAGCGGGGACGGGCTGTATGAAGGCCTGGACTGGCTGGCCAATCAGCTCAAAAACAAGAAGTGAGAGCCAGGCAGCCCTATCTGACTACCCTACCCATCCCTTACATACCTATTGTTTCCCTATCCCAGCCCTACCCCTTCCCCTCCATTGCAAGTGTGGCTAGGGCCCTGGGTATCATGTCCGCATGCCCAGCAAGAGCCTTGCCTCCCCGACTCTCCTCCTCTCCCTGTCCACCGACATGACCAGTCCCCAATTACTGTCCTGATGATGAATCATTCCAATTTACTGGATTTAAAACAAAAACGAGGTTGTTATGGTTTCATGGGGTACCCCCTTCACTCTCTGGGTTTTGGGAGGTGGGATGGGGTATTCTGTCCGTTTGTTCATTTGGCACTGGTTGCTGTGCTTTTGGCATCTGAGTCCCTTTCCTGTCCCCTTTAGACCCCTCTCCTTTTCCTTGTCTTCCTTTTCTTTGACACCCTCTCCCTGTTCTACATGGAAACTGCACGGGCCTCTCTGTGTGTGCGTGCATGTGTGCGCCTGTATATACATGTATAGAGAGATATATATCTGGGGTCCACAGGGAAAGAGGGAGGGGTAGAATGCAGCTCAGGGCTTACAGCCAGGACACTGCCCAGTGGAGCCTGTCATTTGTCCCTTCCTTGTGCTGAGATAAAGGGAAGAGGGTTTCATTTAGACAGGACTGCCTGTCTTGGACTCATCCCTCTCCTCTCTGCAGGTAGGTGTTCCTGGATGATAGGATAGATCATGGATTTTTTTACTACCATCTTCCTTATACCCCTTTATCCACCCTTCTTAGGGCAGGGGGTGGCATTTATCCCTAGGTGACTGTTCCCAAGGAGATGCCATTCTGCTCTGCCTTATTAATGAGAAGCAAAGAGAAACCTACTCATTGTTAGCCCAGAGTGTTTAACTGATCCTCCCCCACTATCCTTAGATCTGTTCTTCAAGAGCTTGAGGGGGAGGTAGAGATAGCAAGGCTGGTATGTTTGGGACCCAGGGTACACAGGGGTGGGGTGCATTGTGGTGGGGAAGGCTTCAGGGTTTCTACATTCCTTGTTTGTTATTAAGAGGTGAGGCATGGGTCAGTCCTATTCCTGCCTTCCTGTGCCTCGCCCTCTGATCCTGGGGGCTGGATGGTTTCATTTGTCCTTTGTCAGAAGTTTTCTCACCCTAATAGTCCTGCTGGCCTGATCAGGACTGACTGGGTAGTCTAATGAGAAGCCGTGGAGTTGGGTTGACATAGCAGACCTCAATATCAATCCCCTTATTCTCTAATTCTCTTTTTCTAGTACAGAACGAGCTGAGAGCTGAAGATTTTGTATTGTTTCCAGGCCCTCAAACTATCCTTGCTGTCCCCTTCCCCTTCGTTCCAACAGCCTTCCCCTGTCCTCAACTCACTTACCATAAATGGATCTGGGGATTGGATTGGAGGAAACTGGACCCTGAATGGTGGTGATTGGTGCTGGTAGGAGACAGTGGTCTTCAGGGTCCATCCCTCATTATTATGTAGTTTGTTCAGAAGCTGCTGCTACTGTGTCTGTCTACAGAGGGCACTTGTCCCTAAAGTCCTGACTTCTGCAGATTCTGTGAAGCTGTCGCTGTTTTGTGGGCTCCTGTGTGTGCTGGCTGCTCCCTGAGCTCTAAGACGGCTGCCTATAACCTTTCTGCTAAGGTCAGGGCTCAGGCCTGAGCCCTGGGGCTAAGGGACCACTTTCCAGAAGGCCTGCCCAAGCCCCACTCCATGGGGCCAGATTTCCTGCCATCTTTGTCTACAGCAAGCAGATCAATACTCCTGACCCCACCCAGATTTGAACTGTGAAAGAGGCTTAGGGGTGTCTCCCTCAGTGCCAGTTACTTAGTGGTGTTACCCAAAATGCAGTGGGTGTTTGCAGGTATCTTGCTCTCTAGGCCTTTGTGTGTGGTTTTGTGTGTGTGTGTGTGTGTGTGTGTGTGTGTGTGTGTGTGTGTATGTTTGGTGTGTGTGTGTGGGGGGGTGTTGGAGGTTCTGTTTCATTTTTGTCCATTTTAAAATGCATTCACTCTTTGACTCTGTAGATTATTTCCTCCATATATTTTCTTTGCTCTGTTTCCTGATTTTTTTGTGCTGTCCCTGTTGCCTTTCCCTCTCTGAACTCTTTCCTCTGCCTTCTCAGTTTATTCACCACTGTTGCCTGCTTGTCTTTCTTTTTCTTGTTTTTTTTTTCCTATTTCTGATTCCCCACTGTGTATCTTTGCAGTTGGAGAGTACTTTGCCTCTTCTCCTGCCTCACTCCTTTTTTGACCTTCCCTAGTTAGATGCCAGTTCCAAATATGTTTTCTTTATTTTAGGCTTCAACCCCATCTTGTGTTTGAGAGGTCCAGAGACCAATATGGGACTGAGGATGTTAGGAAGCAGCCTTGGAGATTGCATTCATGCTGCTTCAGATCTTTCCAGCAGGGGGCAGTAAGTGATCTAGTAGCATCCCTGACTGCCAGGTCCTTGAGCAGGGGTGGGCCTTTCTACATTCCCATTCACCTAATAGCATTTTTTAGGATTGGGTATTTCATTTCATTTCTGGTCTCCTCAGGTGGATTTAATTTTGTGCTTTCCCATGTTCTAGTTTTCTTCTTTCTGGGGACTCCCCTCCTCCCCGTACTCCAAAGTTTGTTTGTGGTGTTATAGTGGTAAATGCAGTTTTGATCTGGTTTTTCTCTTTTTTCCTCCTTTGGAATGTAGACTGTATATGTTTAATAACTCACCTTCTCTATCCTTGCTCAAAATGTGGGATAACACAATGACTGTGACCTTGGTTGGAAATTAAACTTGTTTTATGCAGCTTTGGAGCAGACCTTCATCCTTGATGTGAAGCAGCTGTGGGGTATTGGGTTAATGGTGAAGGTAGTTCTCTTTGTGGTCCCTCTCTCCAGAACGCTTCTTCTCTCCGCAGAGGGGAGAATGGATACACTTGCTGAGAGGAGAGTGAGGTTATGGAAGAACTTAGTTCCATCTCTACACTATTTATTTCTTCCCCCATCATATCCCATAGTAGGGGGTCCAAATGAATCTGATGATGGAATGTGAAGGCTCTGTGACTTTGCTCCTCTAGAAATGAAGGGTGTAACTCTGAAATTAGCCATATTTATCACCTGTGGGTATCCTTTGTGCATTCCAATGACTGGAGGGCCCTGAACTTGGAGGATACTGTATTTCTTCCAATCTCAGATCTCCCTAGGCCTGCACATCAGGTGCTTCCATTTGGACATGGACCCCCTCAATCATATATTGGAGTCCCCCTACCTGGATTTTGGTAGCAAATATGCATTAAGTGTACAAATCTGTGAACTTGATTCTTGAGTGGATGGCCCTACATCAACTCTACTTCTAGCTTGTGGTTCCCTACTATCAGGATGCGAAGCCTCATTCAGAGATTGTTAGATGTCTTGGAGAATCAAACTATTCTATAAAGCTTATTTTTTCCCATCCCACTCTCACCACTGCTCTGTTTCTCTTTTGATATTGTTGTCTGGCTCCAGGCAAAGAAAAAGGGATGGTGCTATGCTTAGGCTAGTTAAGCCATCCAGGCCTCCCCCATTCTCAATACTTTCTTATGCTTTGTGGACAGAGGTCTTCCCAGGTTGCTGTGGTAGGTAATGGACAGGATTTCGGACTATAATAAGCTTGGAAGCCCAAGTACCAGTATGAAGTATATAATTTGTATTCAATTACCTTTCAGTTGCCTTCCCTGCCATTTTTCCTTTTCAGCCTCTCTCCTGTTAATAAGCTATCACTCTCAAGGACCAAGTGCTTCTGCCTACTTGTAACCCTCAAAACTGCTAGATATCACTGTACCAACTCTGTAGCTTGAGGCATTACCCATTTACCCTCAAAATTAGATGACATCATTCTCTAGTACTACCATCCCCCCCACACAACACACACAAATACACAAATCGGATGACAGTTTCCTCCTAGGCTCCTCCAAGGTCTTCTGCTCGGTGACAGACTGCTAATAAGAGCATTTTTCCCAAGTGCTTTATTTGTGTGTTAATAAATAGATAACTTCCAGAGCTATAACTTCTCATCAGACAATGATAATGGAGCACGCTTGAGCTGAACAGACTTGAAGAGATTGTCCTATTCCTTTTTGTCCCAAATACTCAAGACTCCAGGAAGACGTAGAAGACAGCCCTCTTGTGGTAGTTATTTAAACCATCCAGTTTGTGGGGAACATGGATTGAGGAAACAACCTGGGGGACAAAGCTATACTCTTTGTTCCAGAGTATAGGGGCAGTGGGATTGGGGATGTAACTCAGTTGTAGTGTGCTTGCCAAGCATATATGAGGTACTGGGCTCAATCCCCAGCACTGCAAGAAACAAAACAATATGAGGTACAACAAGGTCTGAAGGCTCTGGGGATTCATTGCACTCAGCATTGCCAATTCAAATTTCTGGATTGGTTAAAAGAGAAAGCTGACAAGTTTTATATATTTTTTGTTATCCCCACGTATCCCAGTACTGGAGATTGAATCCAGGAGTATTCCACCACTGAATTACACTCCCAGCCCTTTTTATTTTTAATTTTGAGACAGGGTTGTGCTAAATTGCCAAGGCTGCCCTTGAACTTGTGATCCTCCTGCCTCAGCCTTCCGAGTTGCTGGGATTGTAGGCATGTGCCACTGTGCCTGATGGCAAGTACTTTCATGTTTTAAGGTCTGTGTTAAAAATGGGTCAGACCTCTATACTCATGGAGGGACTTGGGAATCCATTTTTGGGATGCTCTGGAATCCTTTGGGATATATATAATGTACCATTTGGAGAATAACTGTGTAGCAGATACCCTGTCTTTTGCTGCTGCACAGAGTTGGGAGTAGTGTACTTGGTCAGGCTGTAATAATGCTAAGCAGCTTCTTTCCAGTTCTCTCACTTTCTAACTCAGTAATTGAAGAGGTGGAGTATCATGGTGGTCCCTGGGGAGTGACAGGATCCAGATGCTTTCATTCCTTAATTAGAAAGGTTTTTTCTAATTGGGTTTCCTGACCCTGGTTATTGGTATGGGTAAGAATAACTCTGAATTGCTGAGAAAGGTGAAGCATGTTAGGACAGAGGAAATGGAAGCTTTGAGTATGTTAAAGGAAGCAAAACCACTGAAGGCAGTGTGGTTCCTCACTGGAAGTGAGGAAATTGGGTCAGGTGTGAAAGTGTCTGCTCGTGTGTGTCACTTTGGCCATGAACCGCAGGAGAGTTCTGGGCCCTACTTGTGGATCCAATGTGGCTTCTGAGCTAGACATAGCAGGGTAGAAACACTCAAGGCAGAACTGGCTTTCCATGCACAGGGCTGACCAGTTCTACCTATGTGCAAACCATTGAGAGTTTTCTGGCACCTCTGAAGGTGGGAGCTTTTCTAGGAGTGATTCTCTGATTTATGTAATACTTCTAGTCAGGGTTGAGTGAGCTCCCCTCCCTTTTCCAGAACCCCATCTCATCTTTCTCTTTCAGGTTCTTCTAACTTAACCCAGGGAAAAAGCTCCTTCCTTGGTCCCTTCTGAGTCGAGGTGGGCTTGTGCTACCTTCTGTAGGTGGATATTGTTGTCTGTTTTAGTTTTGTTCTTTTCTTTTTCACTGTATCCACTCTCCCTTCACATTCAGGTTCTCAAACAGAGCCTGAACAAGACAATAGCCTCCCACTTTTCTGACACCATTCTAGGAATGTAGCAGGAACTTTCAAAGTGTTTCCACTGCCTTAGACTGGCATTCAGGGTTCTTCACAACCAGCCCTTAATTCCCTCTCCACCTACCTCTCTGCTTCTCTGCCCAGTCTCTTATTTTCACCAAGTTGATTTATTAATTTCACCCCAAAATCTTGTTTTCTCTGCCTTTACTTTCTTTATTGTTTGATTAAAAAAATCCCATGTTAAGATTTAGCTTGTTTCACCTCCTCCACAAAGCTACCCATGGCCTCTCTAAACACAGGCCTTTTTTCCTTTTTTCTTCCACCCTGATTCCTTTACCTTTATTAGCATAGTTCAGTCAACACCTTCCACACTTCCCTTGTATTGTTATCTATCTTGTTGATTAATATTTAATTAAAAATTTTTTACAATAAAAATATATTATAAAAGATCCAAGTAATAGTGCTGGGTGGGATAAAGCCTGTAATCCCAACTACATTGGAGCCTGAGGCAGGAGGTTCACAAATTTGAGGCCAACTGGGCAATTTAGCAAGATCCTGTCTCAAAACAAAAAGTGTTAGGGATATGACTCAGGGGTAGAGTGCTTGTCTAACATTCATGTTGCCCTAGGTTCAATTCCCTGTACTTCCAAACAAACAAAACATAAATATATAGAGTAATGTGGAATTTGATGTCTATTCTTCCCATTTCTATCTTCTCACCACCCTCAGTTATGCTCCTAGCACCTTTAAAAAAAGATTTTTTTAGATGTTGATGGACTTTTATTTTATTCATTTATTTATATGCAGTGCTGAGAATCAAACCCAGTGCCTCACACATGCTAGGCAAGTGCTCTACCACTGAGCCTCAACCCTGATCCCCCTCTCATTACCTTTTAAAAATATATATATCAACACATTTTAGTTAAAATATGAATGCACTTATGTCACATGTGTGCTGTACCTGCTTTTTTATTTAAGGGTATATACATTTGGCTTAGAAGATTTACATACTAGTATAGTTAGCTCTTTATTTTTGATAGTTTCTCCTTATTTCATTGTGTAATTTTTCAAAATAAAGCACTTGTGCAGGGTTTGGTGGTACATACATCTGCAATCCCAAGTGACTCAGGAGACTAAGTTAGGAAGATCACAAGTTGGAATCCAGACTCAGCAACTTAGAGAGACTCTGTGTCCAAAAAACAAACAAACAAAAAAACTGGAGAGGAGCTCAATCCATAGTACCAAAGGAGGAAAAATAACATATTTATCTAGAATCTGTTATTTGGAGATTATTGTTCAGCTGGTACTTGGGAGATCTAGGAATGATCACAGCCTGTCCTTGGTATCAGTGAGCTGGCTGTCAGGGGATATGAGACTGGAGGAGAGGGGCATGCACAAATAGCTGCAACCCAAGGGAAAATATAAAAATGTCCCTAAGTATATGCCTGAAGTTCAAAAATAGGGAAAGTCACTGTTAACTAAGAGAATCAGAGCTTCACTGAGGAGATACTTGAATTTAACCTGGAGGAAACTTGACAGGTAAAGAGAAGAGCATGAACTAGGACATAGAGATGGAAACACATGGTATAGGTTCCTCTGATGGCCAGATCACAGTCCAGAAGCAGGAAGAGGTTTTGGTCTAGTTCATAAACATTTGTATGTCAGACACAAGCAATGAGGATATAGAAAAGAGAAACGTGAGGTTCTGTTTCTAAAAGGCTTTCAGTTTAATAGGCTAAAAGACCAGTTGAGAAAAGTAAATAAGTGCTAGATTACAAAAGCTTTTAATTGGCATGTCAAGGAGTCAGAATTTTATTCACTGGGCAGTGTGGAGTCATGGTAGGTTTTTGGTGGGCAACTGACATGACAAACTAAATAGTAAAAATGTACAGAATGTCTCAAGTAGGAGAGGTTGGGAATGAGGTTTATTCCTCTTTTAAATAAAAAAGTATTTTTTAAAATCTCAATTTAAAGATGTTTGATTGTTTGGGGATGTGATTCAATAGTAGAGTATTTAACCTAGCATGGGGGAGACCCTGGGTTCAATCTCCAGTGATCCCTAAGGGATGGTTAGAGGAAGGCATCTGATGGTAGGCAATCCAGGGGCTGATGTGGTGGCTCTTCAGTTTTAGACATAGCCTTCATCCTTATGATCACCTCATGGTCTAATATAGCTACCAGAGCATAATTAATCTTATCTATCTTCCAGGTAGCAGAAGGAAGGAAGGCAAGACCTTGTGGGGAGGGAGAGGAACACAATGATACATTTCCTAGCTAACTCCCTTTGAAGAACTTTCTTGGAAGTCCAAGACAATACTTACTTTCTTTTCTTTTTCTTTTTTTGGTACTGGGCCAAGACAATGCTTTCAACACTTCTGTTTCTTATTAGATATAAACTAGGTGACCAATAAGTCCTCTAGGTTTTTTTTGTTGTTGGTTGGTTGGTTGTTTGTTTTTGCAGTGCAGGGGTTTGAGTCCAGGGGCACTAAGCTACATCTCTAGCACTTTATTTTTTTGGTAAGAGGGATTGAACTCAGATGCACTAAACCACTAAGCCACATCCCCAGCCCTTTTTTTGTATTTTATTTAGAGACAGGGTCTCCCTGAGTTCCTTAACATTCACTTTTGCTGAAGCTGGCTTTGAACTTGCAATCCTGCCTCAGTCTCCTAGGCCACTGGGATTATAGGCATGTGCCTCCTTGCCTGGCCTCTTTTTATTTTTTGAGACAGGGACTTACTACTAAGTTGTCTAGGCTGGCTTTGAATTTGTGATCCTCTTGCTTCAGCCTCCCTAGTACCTGGGATTATAGGTGTGCCCCACTATGTCTGTGACCATATGCAGCTTTAAGGGAGACATAGAAATATAGTTTTATGGGGATATATTCAGTATTTAGAATTTTGCGATATAATTTGCATAAAGTGAGATTCCCAGATTGTAAACATAGAGTTTAAGATTTGACAAGTGCTTGCATCCAACTCATGTCCCTCTCACGTTATGGAGCATTCATCACTCCAGAAATTCCCTCCTGCTGGTGTGTGTGTGTTTTCTTTAACAATCCCATAGAGTGGCTGGGGCTTGGGGGGGGGTGCGCAGAAAAAATGAGGTCTTAATGGGAATGAAAAAGAGCTGGAGAGACTGGAGGGGGAAGCCAAAGGAGACTGGTTGAATGTAGATGAAGAATAATCAGAGAATGCTGAGCCCCTAGCAAAAAGAGGAGATTGGGAGAATAAGACCAGGTTGTTGTGGGTGGGATGGAAGGAGGAAGAATGAGTACTTGTTGGGTGTGTTGAGTCTGAAGTGCTGGCAAAACATCCAGGTGGAGATGCCTAGTAGGTAGTTGTGTCTAGGGCTTGCAAGGGCAATCAAAGCTCAGTTGCACCAAATACCAGAGAGATGATGCTAAAGACAACAGGCCAAGAAATGGCCCCAGAGTTTGGTAAATGTGAGCTCCCTGATAGCCTTTGAGCGAGCAGAATCCAGGTGCCAAAGGCTGAACAAATTATGCAAATGGTACTGGTAGGATCGACTGAAATCATTTGAAACCCTCTTTAAAGACTGAAATTCTTGCATAAACAAAAGGTTTGTATGTGCTGCTCTTTTATTTATTTATTTATTTTTTGTGCTGCTCTTTTAAAAAGGTTGTTAATGAAAGCAGAAAAATGGTAATGCCAGAGGAAAAGATCAGGAATTCATCCCATTCTTACAGGAAAATAGTTCCTTGTGCTTTCCAGTTAGCTTTCCAAAAGCAAAAGGAAAGGACAGTGCTCTGCTCCAGAGAGTGGAGCTGAAGGTATAGAGATGGGAGAGGGATGCCACCTTTGACAACTGTTGGTGTGGCAGCAATTCCTCCTGTGGGACAGAACGGCTAACGGACAGATGGGTCAGAATGCGAACTCCCTATCTCAGAGAGTAGGGAGGGCTTCCTGCGGCCTCCTCCCTCCAGGAGGTGGGGACAAGGTGGAGCAAGGATTGCGAGAGGAGGAGCTCGCTCATCACCACAAGCCCGGTCGCGTCCAGTCTCGCCTGGGCGCCGAGGAAAAGATCTCCTAATCTCCGCCACTGGAGTAGCCTGTCCAGGTGCCCCAGTGCCCTGCCCCCATCCAGTCATGACCCTGCGCCCCTTATTCCTGCCCCTCCATCTCCTGCTGCTGCTGCTGCTCAGTGGGACGGTGTGCCGGGCTGAGGCTGGGTTCGAAACCGAAAGTCCCGTCCGGACCCTCCAAGTGGAGACTTTGGTGAGGAGATGGGCCAGAACCTGTGGGGGAACTCCAGGATCTAAACGAACCTGGGAGTGGGGAAGAGAGGAAGTGCGGGAACTGAGTTGGATGGTGCTGGGTCTAGGGGAGAGAACTAGATCTTTGGAGGAGCTTCCGTGACCCTTGTAGTCCGATCGTAGGTGGAGCCCCCCGAACCGTGTGCAGAACCCGCTGCTTTTGGAGACACGCTCCACATACATTACACGGTGAGGGGCACAAGGGGTTGGGGCGGGGCCTAGGAGGGGCGGGGCATTGCTGAAACACGTCAGCTTTGGCTTAGACACGTGGCAAGGGTTTGGAAGGAAAAATTCAGGCTCTGGGGTCGTAGAGCACGTGGCGGGGGGGGGGGAGGGGCGCCCCTCTTTCCTGCCTATTTCCCCTTGGTGCTTTTCCTCCAATTCCTCCTTGGCACTGAGAAACGTAGGGTGGAGAGGTCTCTAGTAAGTGCCAGCCCTTTGGGACTTCCTGTTCCTTTTTGCCCTAGAGGGATAAACTGCAGCAATAAGGGGGTTGCCGCCACCTTGCGGTCCAGGTGTGTGTGTTGCCCGCCTCCTTAGGAAGCACTAGGTATGTGCTCTTGACGCTCTCTCCCAACCAGGGTACCTTGATAGATGGACGCATTATTGACACCTCTCTGACCAGAGATCCTCTGGTTATAGAACTTGGCCAAAAGCAGGTGATTCCAGGTATGTGACCTGTGCCTCTCATTTCACCTCTTCCCAACCTATGCCCTTTCTTGGCTTTTCAACCCCTAAGTTGCCCAGGAAAGGCCTCTTGGAATAAGACCCCAGGGCTCTTCCAGTTACTTCCTAAGATTTAAGCCCCACTTCTAATACTTCTCTTGCCCCATACCCCATTGGAAACCAGGAATTTGAGAAGTGGGGAAGACTCAATTGAGAGTTAAGTGTGAACCTCTGATCTTTCTCTTGGGTGACTTGGTAAATGTGAGTAGCTTCCAGTAAGTTATGTCTTCTTCCTCAAGGTCTGGAGCAGAGCCTTCTAGACATGTGTGTAGGGTGAGTATCTGGGAAGAGGGTATAGGAGGGTGGGTATCCCCTTTCCCTGGGTAGAGGTTTTCTCTGCCATCCTGCTCCTGCAGGAGTCAGTAGAATGTGGGATAAAGGACTGTGGCTTCACATTGGACAGGTCCACATCAGTAGGCCTTCTGAGGATATCTAAAACCGGTGCCCCTCTGGTTTTGTTGGAGGAGTTGGGGTTGTAGGGAGATGGACACTTTTGCTGTTAGACACGCAGGTGGGAAAGTTCATGTTTTGGGTATAAATATACAAGGGGTTTTGCTGACTGAAGGTACTGGCCCACCTTCCCACCTCTGGCTGTGACTTACATTCCTTCCCTCAGAGAGAAGCGAAGGGCAATCATCCCTTCTCACTTGGCCTATGGAAAACGGGGATTTCCACCATCTGTCCCAGGTAATCTGACTAGGTCTTTCTTTCAGGCCATCAAAAAACCAGTCCCTACAAGGAATTAATTTTTTTTGTTTTTTGGTCTGGAGCTTGAGAAGGTCCAGATCAGGTTTACTGAAAGGGACAGGAGTGGCTGGGGCCTCCTTCTGCAGAGCCACTTTTTTTTTTTCTGCTCAGGTCACCAATAGAGACTACAAACATCACCTGTTAAGGCCACCTCTGGCAGCTGGAATATTTTTAGGGAAGAGATACGTGCTTGACCTACATGGGTCTGCTGCTTGTATTACTACTCTCAGAATAGTCAAGGAACTCAAAAAAAGCAATCTTTAAAAGCCAAGTCTACCCCATAACTTGGAAAACTCTTATAAATCATTGTTGTATCTGTTTTTTAAAAAATTTTAGTTATGTATGGACTTAATGCATTTATTTGTTTTTATGTGGTGCTAGGATTGAACCCAGTGCCTCACACTCAGCTACAACTGAGTTGAAGCTCCCATTGAGCCACAACTACACCCCTATTATATCTGTTTTTAAAGGGCTGATACTGGACAGATTTCCCAAGACACATATCTTTTGCTTTTGGTTATAACAAATGTTCTATTAGCTAAAATGTGTTTTATTCCACAGAGCATTGAGAACATAATTCCTCTCCTAGTCCCAGCTAGAGGAAGGTCTGGAAAGAGGGTAGGGGGACTAGAGAGAAACTATTTTAGCCAATGTTCTATTACTTCCCAATTCACAGTACTGCTTATTTGCTTCTTTGTATACCTCTCCCTTCCCATTCACTCCTCTTCCACTTGCCCCTATTTGTTTGTTTATGGTACTGAGGACTGAATCCAGGGCCACTCTATCACTGGGCTATACCCATACCCCCAGCCTTTTTTATTTTTTGAGACAGGGTCTCATTAAGTTGCCCAGGCCGGCCCTAACTTGTGATCCTCCTGCCTCAGTTTCTTGTGTACAGGTGTGCACTACCACACCTAGCTAAACTATTGTTTTCTTTCTTTCTTTTGTAAGTTTTCTTTCTTTTCTTTTTCTTTTTTTTTTAGTTGTTGATGGACCTTTATTTATATGTGGTGCTGATAACCAAACCCAGTGCCTCACACATGCTAGGCAAGCGCTCTACCACTGAGCTGTAGCCCCAGCCCCAAACTACTGTTTTTCTAATAATCACATTGAATGTGCTCATTGGTTGGTGGAATTTTAAAGTTGTCTACTTTAAATCCAGTTAATTTTAGCTCTGCAATGATTCTGTCCATATGGCTCTTTGGAAAATGGGTATAGGTAGTATAGAGGGTTCTTTTATAAATGGAGAACAGCCTATATATTTCATATTCATAATTTTCCTGTGCTGTCAAAGACCTCACTGAATCCAAGCCATACATGTAGTTGGGGTCAATATGACTATTACTAGACTCTGCTTATAACCCTCCTCTGCCTTTGTCTAAGGGAACTCAACCCCACATTTAAGTCTTGCCAGCTTCATAGTTGGCTTTGCTATAGCCAGCCCTTCCTGTTTTCATTCATATTCAAAGCCCCAGATAAAATGCACAAGAGATTCTAATCCTCACCTCCCCTCTGCCTCTCCAGCGGATGCAGTGTTGCAGTATGACGTGGAGCTGATTGCACTGATCCGAGCCAACTACTGGCAAAAGCTGGTGAAGGGCATTTTGCCTCTGGTAGGCATGGCCATGGTGCCAGGCCTCCTGTGTCTCATTGGGTTTCACCTATACAAAAAGGCCAACACACCCAAAGTCTCCAAAAAGAAGCTCAAGGAAGAAAAACGAAACAAGAGTAAAAAGAAATAAATGATAGTACTTTTAAAGAGCTTTGTATTCTTCACCTGATACTTTCTGAAGCTGTTTTTTGTAAGTGGGAAAGAGGTGAAGGGCTGAGAAAAAAAGGCATTCTGGAGTTGGATCTTGCCTGGCAAGGGGGGGTGGTTGGAAGCCTTAGGTCACCACTTCCCCTGACCACCTCTTGCTGTCCTAATATACCCCAAAGATCTGCCCATAGGATCTGCCCACTTGGCCTCTAGGTCCTTAAGGTATTGGTATGGGCTCCCATGGTGCCACAACACCAAAGGGCTGTGCTTCACTGCGTCATTGCCTTCCTATTTTCTCTGCTCCCCAGGATGGCAGTATTCCTAGTGTCTTCAAAGTGAACTGCTCTGTCCAAGACAGCAAAAATATAAGGAGTTCATAAACTCCATGGAAGTTTTTAATAGCAAAGCACTTGGGTCTCAAAAAAAAATTTTTTTTCTTTGAGGTTGGAAAGACGTGTCCTCCCTTGGATCACAGGGTGTGGGAGATGATGTGGGCTGCTTCAATGATATTATAAGTAGTTGGAGGTGGTTTGTCACCTGACTGGGCAGTAGATGTGGACAAGGGTTGGGATAAGTTGCTTTGATGGTTGACTATGAAGAGTGGGTTGAACTTGCTCAACACTTCATCACTCACAGAGATGCCATCCAAGTACTGCTTGAGCATCTCCCGAAGCTTCCCATTAATTTCCAACAGCTGGGCTCGTCTGTGTTGGAGGCTCAGTTGCTCCAGTTTCACCTTGTTGTACCTTTTCCAGAAATTCTCCATCCCTACGTAGTCAGCCATCACCTGGTAATTGAGTTAGAGAGGGAAAGTGTGCTTCAGGACTCAGTAGCAAATGCTATCCCAAAGCCTATCCTCTCCCAGCCCTTACCTTCACAAGTTCCATAGTAAGCTCTTCGGGATTTTGTTCCTCATTCTCCTCCTGTATATTAGCTGTCAATACTGATGAATAAAAAGGCAGCACTTTCTCTTCCTCTGTTTCATATTTTCTACATATTTCAGCAAGTTTAAGGATCTTTTCACCCTGTTGGAAGCAGGAACAGACTTCATTAGGAAAGGGCTAAAAGGGAAATAGTGGAGTTAGTTCTCTGCATGAAACAACTCCAGCGGAACTTCTCATTAAAATGAGAGACAACAGTAATAAATACATCTAACACCTAGTGCTTACCATGTGCCAAGCACTGGTCTAAGTATTTCATATTTTTATTAAATTAAGCTGTTATTATTTAATTTAAAATGTATGAGGGGGGGGAGAGAGAATAATGAAGATATTCCTAGTGTTCACTTAAGCTTAGGAAGCACGAGGAAACCCTCCTCTACTTCTCTAAGTTCCTTTCACCTCAAGCAGTTTATTTGCCTTTGTTCTGACTGTCCTCTCCCCTTTATTACCTTATCAACGATCTTTTTCAAGGCCTTGAGGGTGGCATTACTTTCCAGGGTGAGCTTGACTAAGTTCTCCTGGGATACCTCTCGAGCCTGCATCCTTTGAGCCTTAAGTTTTCGCAGTTGTATAAGGACCAACTCCTTGTCATTACGGATATACTGGTTCTGATCTTCACTCTCACGACTATGCAGCATGATTTTGCCTTTTGAAATAGTTATGGCCTCCTGGACAGACAGAGGAAATACTTGACCAGAGGAGGGTCTTTATTGACCAGGAAAAGGGCAGCCTGGGAACTGAAATCAGAGTATATCATCTTTTCTCACTCAGTGGAGTAATGAGACCCAGTGGGAACTGGAGAAAGGGGAAAGGGGAATAATGGAGTAGTGTAAGCAGCTTTTTGATGGTGATACTACCTGTAGTTTCTGTATTTTTTTCATTTGTGCTTCAATTTCTTTGGAGCTCTTCTCGTCCTTCACCTTTAAGGTTTCAAAGGCAATTTTCCGATCCTCTGTGGCATCAGTGTAATTCTTGAGTGCTTCTTGGAACCTTCTCCACAGATCTTCTACTACATTCTCTAGTTGTATTCGTAGAAAGTGCTTCTCTTCTAAATTCTAGGAAATTCCCCCCAAATACCCAATGTTTAAAATTATGCTACTAATGCCCTTTATTTCCACCAGAAACCTCATGTTTTGAACTGTTTCAAAATGCCCATAAAGACCAGGAAGATAATATAAGAAAGTATTGTGGGCTGAGTGGGTCCTGTAGTGAACTTGAGCTCCTACAACTCCACATGAATGCTGCCATTTGGAAACATGACCCAATGTTGCCACTAGATCTTTAAATTTTTCAAGGGAAGTCGAAAATTTAGATTTTTATGTGAAATATTTTCAATTTCTAAATATAGAAAATGTATTCAAAGTTTTTATAAAACATTGACATAACATGAAAACAAGAACCCCACCAGGCATAGTGGCACATGCCTCTAATCCCAGCAACTTGGGAGGCTGAGGCAGGAGGATTTTAAGTTCCATGCCAACCTCAGCAACTTAGCAAGACCCTGTCTCAATAAAAAGAGTTGGGGATATAACTCAGTGGTAAAGTGCTCCTGATTTCAATTCCCAGTACCAAAATAAAAATAAAAGCAAAAAAAAAAAAAACAAAAAGAACCCTATATCTAAACCTAGGTCTATGGAGTAGTTAAGTTTATAATCTCCAATATGGTAAAAAATATTTTGGGCTAAGTGGCAGGAGACCTAGATTAATTCTTCTGGCTCTACCACAAATCAGAAGCGTGAGTCTGGCGGGTCATTTATTTATTTGGACCTTAGTATCTTCATCTGTAGTTCAGAGGAAGCCAGATGATCTCCTTGTTGCTTTTTAAGCTCCAAAATGCATTCCCTTGATATTTTAGAATGATCTTCCTTCCTGACCAGTTTTACAAAATTACAAAAAGCAGTTGAAGCAACTACAGTGGCACACCCTTTTATTGACTGTTGGTTACAGGGCTCTATTCTATCTGTAGTAGCTTGAACAATTTTTCTCTTACTTCTCTCCCAGTTCCTGTCCCTTTAATCCCTTCTATACCTTGTTTTTGAGATCATCCCACATGCTTTGGAACTCCAACTTGCTTTCATACTCAGAATCTATATAGTTCTGCTCCATGGCCATGAAGACATCTTGTAGATAGTGAATCTCTTTCTCATGTTGGTCAATAATTGTCTTCCTATAGGAGACAAGATACTGTCCTTGCTGCAATGGATACAGCATATGGACCAATAATGACAATTTAAAGCAGTAGTAATAAAACTGTATGAATGGTACAAACTCTTTGATATTACAGAGAACAGAGAGAGGGTGGGCTCTACATTTTTATGGCCAGAGAGAATAAGATTATTTTATTTTGATTTTTGAATAAGTAATACATTAATCCAAATATAAATATAAGTGAAGTCTCCCTCCCAAATCTGTCTGCTGTGAGATGGGTAGGATTCTGATATTTGAAAGTGGATGGTAAGGGCATTTTGATGCCAGGGGAAACACCTGCCAAAGATTTTCGTGTGTGTGTGTGTGTGTGTGTGTGTGTGTGTGTGTGTGTGTGTGTAGGGATATGGGGGGTGGGGGAAGGGGTAAAGGAAAGCAAAGGCTGTAAGGTGAACCTGAATTTGTTTAGAACAAACTCAGAATGTTCTCTGTTGTGGGTCATGTCATAATAAAAGTGGAATGCTTCCAGGTACTGGCCACCTGCTTACAAGCAGCTCCTTCACACAGAACAGTCACTCCCCTGGACTCAGACCCCTGTCTTCTCTTGGGACCCATACCTTTCTGTCTCAAACTCCTTGGTTAGGACCTCCAGCTCATTGTTGTAACTTTCCTCCAGGAGGTGGAGCCGGCGCCTCTGCAGGGCCAAGAGCTGGTCAATATTGTGTAAGTGGCTGCGTAGGGCATGGGCATACTGCTCCTCAGCTTCTGATAGGTCCTTAGCTAAAGACTGGACAGGAAAACAGAGTTACCATTCTGGTCAGCATGGGCATACTGCTCCTCAGCTTCTGTTAGGTCCTTAGCTAAAGACTGGACAGGAAAAACAGAGTTACCATTCTGGTCAAATGGCATCTGTGTGAGAAAATAAAAATTTATTCAGCTGGCTAGCTGGATGACAAGATGGCATTTTTTCCCTCAGTTTCTAATGCCAAGACTTTGGCTTTGTAAGTACTGGTTCACTCACTTTTTTTTTTTTTATGGTACCAGGAATTGAACCCAGGGGAATTTAACCACCAAACCACATCCCCAGCCCCTTTTTTTTGTTTTATTTTGAGTCTGGGTCTTGCTAAGTTGCTTAGGGCCTATGTTGCTGAGGCTGGCTTTGAATGCACTATGTTCCTGCCTCAGCCTCCCGAGCCACTGGGATTATAGGTGTGTACCACCATGCCTGGCACCTACTCACTCTTGAGTGTAAAGCAAGGATGATGTCAGGGATCCCCAATATCCTGTGGACAACAAATATTTACAATGATGGGGCCACCACTACATGGAATCAGGGTTTTTGGAGAAATGACCACTTTGAAGTTTTATGCAGAAAATAAGTTGAACCTAGGGTATCTTATCACAAAAGATCATTAAGAAGCTATCAACAACCAATATAGTCATGTCATAAGGACTCAGGAACCATTATGAAATACATATAGTAGATTATATTTTGCAAACATAAGCACAGCAGTATCTCCCATCTGATAATTTCCTGTAACATGATCTTGCCAATCCATTTCTGTAATATGACCTTGCCATCAAAAAGTAGACTCTTTTTCCATCATCTTGAATTTGGGAAGACTCTGTGACTCCCTGGATCAATAGAATATGGTGGAAGTGACCTGTGCCAGTTCCAAGCATAGCCCCTTATGTGTCCTGGCAACTTCTGCTTCCTGCCCTTTGGGATGCTCCCTCTAAGAACCTAGCTGTCGTGCTGTGAGAAGCCCAATTTACACAGGGGTCACGGGAAAGCATAGTGAACAACCTAGTTAAACTCCTCTGACAGCCAGAATCAAGAGCCAGCCACCTAGGACATTTAGCCATCCGGCCTAGTTGAATGCAGCCCCAGCTGACATCTGACTGAAAACTAACCTTGCTTGAGAAGAATC